GGCCGGGCGGCGGGGAGGGGGTGCGGGGCTCCGAGACGACACCGCGGCCCGAGCTGCCGGCACCTGCAGCCGTCGGATGGGTCCGCTGCCTCTGAGCCCGCCCGCAATGCTGCGGCCGCCTCTGCTCCTTCTGCTCCTGTTGCTGTTGGGACCCGGACTCGGGCCCAGCGCTGGTGAGTGAGTGAGGAGGGGGGCCCCCCGGAGGAACGGGGAGCCCTGCCTTCCCGTCCCTCTGCAACCCCTCCAACTCATCAGCCTCTCCCCCGCCTCCCGGGGCCCCGGGAGCCCCCGGCCCTCCTTTCCCGCCCCTCTGATGCATTCTTTACCAGGTTTCCAGGAACCCTGTCCCCCAGCCTCACCGCCCCCCCCTCCAAGGCACCCTCCAGTCACCTGTCCCTGAGGTCTAAGGTAGGGCTACGGGGGGGGACACCTGGGAGGGGCAGGTGAAGAACAGAAGGTGGCTTTCTCACCTGCCCCTGGCCATCACCCTTAGAGAGGTCTCCTCAGCACCCGACTATTTCTGGGGTGTACAGACACACCCACTCGCAGGGAAATATAGGGATACACCACAAGCAGGGAGACACGGAGGCACAGGACACCTTCAGCCTCACCTGGGCACTCAGGTGTAGGGTTCACGGACAGGTTCACACCGGGACACAGGCAAAGAGACCTCGTAGGGAACACACATATGCACACATAAAGCTCAGGCAGACCAGACAGCCCGACGTGGATACACACACACACACACACACACACACGCACGCACGCTCAGGCCCATGGGACACCGGGACAGCTTTGGCACTCCCAAGTAGAGGCTGTCGCGGGCAGACAGAGCAAACAGACCCCAGAATGACCTGCCTCACCTAAGTTGATGCAGAGGGAGTGTTTTCCTTGGTTCCAAACTCAGTGCTGGGCGGCTGCCCCATGCCTTGGTTCTCTGGAGGGCTGTGCCCAGGACCCTGAGATTGCCAGAGTGTGGTCAGGTCGGGGTGGGGACCTCTGGGGACAGCTTTGGGGCATGGAGTTAGGACTGGGGCCATTTCAGGTATGCTTACACAGGGAGTGTTCCATGGGGCTTGGTGGGTCCGGAGGTCAAGGGACCTTTTCTGGAAGCTTACTGTGTGCCAGGGGATCTGGAGTTGTCTACAGCAGAAATCTGCCCTCAAAGAGCTCCCAGTTGAGAAGGTCACTCCCAGGGGTGCCTGGGTGGCTCAGTCGGTTAGGCATCTGCCTTCAGCTTCTCCTTCTCCCTCTTCCTGCTGCTCCCCCCACTTGTGCTCTCTCTCTGTCAAATAAATAAATAAAATCTTTAAAAGAGTTAAATAGAGGGTCACTCCCATAAGCAGACAGCTGCACAGCGTGGTAAAGACCCCTATGGTCACCTGGGGGCAAGGCAGATTATAGAAGGAGGTGACAGGTGAGCATGGGGTGAGGGTGTGTGCCCTGCAGCGTGTCTGTGATGGGAAATTCAACTGGAGGAGACGTTAAGGATGAGCAGGGGCTGCATGGGGGCGTTGAGAGAGGACATGGGGGTGTTGAGAGAGGGGCCCCTTCGTGCAGGGCCTCTGGGCTGTGGCAAGGCCTCTGAGCTTTATCTGGACGGTGGGAGCCACGGGATGTTTCGGGCAGACGCATGGGCAGCTGGGAGCCGCACCTGGCCAGTTCTGGGAGAGCGAGGACTGGTCACCCAGAGAGGAAGGCGAAACCTTTAACTGGTTTCTATGTTTTCTTTCTATTTAACTCATCTCTATTCCCCCACCCCCACAAATATGATACTTTTTCCACCGAGAAAAAACAACAATGGGTTTAATTTTGGCTCTTCAAAAAAGTCAGGGTGATGAACACTTGTTTTAAAAAAATTTTTTTAAGGATTTTATTTATTTATTTGACAGAGAGAGAGAGCACACACAAGCAGGGGGAGCAGGAGAGGGAGAGGGAGAAGCAGGTTCCCCGCTGAGCAGGGAGCCCGATGCGGGGCTCCATCTCAGGACCCTGGAATCATGACCTGAGCCGAAGGCAGACGCTTCACGGACGGAGCCACCCAGGCGCCCTGAAAACTTGTTTTAGATGAAAAGCGATGAGACCTTATGGGCAGATGCAATGCACAGACCTGGCCTGGCTCCTCCGTCCCCAAGCGGTGGAGAGTGGACACCCAGGAATCAGACAGGTCTCCGTGTGAGTGTCTGCTCCGGGCCTCGGCGGCCCTGTGCATCTTCAAGCCTCAGGCTCCCCAGCCATAAATGGGATAACAGCTGCCCGCAAGACAAGGAGGCTATGCTGTTGACAATAGGAGATGCCTGTCAACTGGGGAGCACGGTGCTTGGTATGGGGTGAGGTTCAAGTGATCACACTCCTTACTGTTACTCTGTTTGGTTTTTTGGACCAATGCCAGAGAGCAGACTCCTTTGTTACCTTCACCGGAAGGATTATTGGATGTCCCGGGCACAGTGGGTTTGGAGGGCCCTGACCTCAAGCAGTGGCCCCATTGGTGCCTCTCAGCTCTGTCACCTTGGCAGGCCCCCTTCCCTTGCCCTTATTGGGTGAAAAGGAAGGTGCACCGGTTTGGAGGTCAGAAGCCTGGGTCGGAGCCCCCCAAGAAGATCAGGTTCTTGTTGGCTGTGTGACTGTGGGGGTCGTCCTTGGTGCTCCGGTCTCCTCTTCCTCACCTGTGAAATGTAGGGGGTCCAGTCACCCCTCCTGTGCATTGCTGTGTGTCAGAGATGCACTGGGATGCAGAACAGGTGGCTGGGCTCAGGCCGCAGGGCCTCCCTGTGTGGGAGGAAGCCGTGCGTGGGCAGTGAAAATAAGAGAAGATGCAAAAGGCCCCGAGCCCGAGTCTGGAGGGGCACGGTGGGGGGCAGGGGAGATCCATGGACAGGAAAGCCCCTGCAGGGGAGCCTGGTGGCATGGACCCTGTTTAGCTCATCTCTGTTACCCAGTGCCCAGCACAGGCAACTGGACAGACATTTGATTCGGGACTAGCAGTCTGACGAGGAGTAGACGAGGGCAGGAGATTGGAAATCAGGACATTCCAGGAAGCGGGGCCAGCCTTTGCAAAGGCGCAGTGGTGCGACCTTTGGGATGCCGCGGCTCGGTGACTTGTTTTCTCTTTCAGGGCTGCCTTGGAGACATGAATAGTAGAGGCGGGCATGTGCCAGGGGCTTTACATGCATGATGCTGTTTCATCCTCCCTATTGTATAAACAAGGAAACCAAGGCACAGAGAGGTTGAGTAAGTTGTTCAAGGTCACACAGCGAGGAAGTAGGAAGAGCGGGATTCAAACCCAAACAGTCATCCAAGCCCTTCCCACATTAGTGCCCTTCCCCAAGCCCTGCCCTGCAATCTCTGACCTTTGTTTCCCTCTAGCTTCCCAGAGGTCACATGTGCACCGGCGTGGGCTTCTAGAACTGGCAGGGACCATGAACTGTGTTGGCAGCCGCAGCCCCCTGTCCTACATAAGCTATGGCTGCTATTGTGGCGTGGGAGGCCATGGCCAGCCCCGCGATGCCATCGACTGGTGAGTGCATGCTTGGGCCCGGGCTTAGAAGGTCCCCCACCCCCTGGGGTAGTTAAGGCCTCTCTAAGGAAATACGCACAACCGAGGTTTCTGTTTGGACTAGCAAGATCCTAGCACGCAGTACAACCTGGCAGGCAGAGGGCCTCCTGGGTGACGGGGCCACTGAGGACACACCTCGGGTGTCACAGCTGCCCCCCCGCCCCCAGCCTGGCCATGCAATGAATTACTTGGGCTGAAAAAAGAACATAGGCTTGATCAGACATATTATGCACCAGGAACCGTTCTGAGAAGCCCTCTCAGTCCTCACAACAACCCCATTTCAGAGATGAGGACACTGAGGCAGGAGAGATTAATTTGTCTGGGGCCACAGAGACAGTGAGGGGTGGGGGCTGGGATCCGAACCCAGGCAGCCCGGCTGGATTTATGCCCCTACCCGCTGGGCTCCGCTACCATGTGAGAAATGCCCATTCTGTGCAAGGCTGAGGGTTTATTTAGATCTTCCCGGGACTTCCTTTCATTTATCCTCCGAGGTGGGCAGGACGGCTGTCCCCTGAGGCTCAGGGAGGCACGGCCACTCAGCCATTTCCACACAGCCAGTAGGAGGTGGCAGAGGGCACCATGTGATGGTCTCTTCCCTGGTTTGGAGGATTTGACTGTCCCAGACAGGTATTTGCTCAGTCTCATGCTTCCAAGTCTCCTGGGCATGGTTGCCTGCTTCCTACACATCCTCCCAGATGCAGCTCAGGCATTGACCCCTCTGGGCTCCCAGAGTCCCCCCTCCCCCACCCCTTATCCCACGTTCTAGCACTTCTCACCATGCATGTGGTGTCTGGAGGCTTGTCTGCCTCCCCCCATCAGACTGGGGGCTCCTTGAGGGCAGAGTGGCATCTGGCTGACCTCTCCCTGCCAGATCCCATTATGGGCTCTGGACACAGAGGGACTAGTAGCTGGATGGAGACCGTACCAGTGAATGAATGAATGATGGGCAGGTTTGGAGACATTTGTGGATGTTTCTCAGAATTGCTCAACAGCAAATTATCATTATTATTATTATTGAGGTCCTATTATGTAGCAGACCCTGGAGTGGACACTGGGGACACTGTGGAGAGCAGGACAGAAATGGTCCTGTCCTGACAGAGCTCTGGCCACTGCAGAGGACAGATGCTCATCAGTCTTCTCCCTAAAATGAGAGTCTCGTTATAAACCTGCCCTGAAGGGAAGGAACCCAGTTGTATGAGAGGGTGTAACCAGGAGACCGTCATTGACTGGGGAGGTCCGGAGCTGGATGACATCTTGGGATGGGAGCTGGTTCTTAGGCTGAGACCTGGAGGGAGGAAGGATGGACAGGAAGCCGTCCCACGCAAAGTCAGGAGGCAGGCGGGGCTCGGCTCACTCCCGGCACAGAGAGGAGGCAGGTGCGCGGGAGCTCAGAGACACAGAATGAGGCAGGCAGGGGCCAGGGGACGCAGCCAGGGCACACCCCACACACTGGGGCCAGCAAAATTATTTCCCAGGGTGGGGATTCTTGGGGACACAGCTTGGACCAGAAGATGCTGGCTCCCTGCGTGTCCTCACGTACCCAGAGTCCTGGCCGGGAGAGCATCCCTGCCTCCACCCAGCTGCTGGTCTGCCTGCCTGCCATCCCCAGGTGCTGTCACCAGCATGACTGCTGCTACACGCAGGCTGAGCAGGCTGGCTGCAGACCCAAGATGGAGCGCTACCCCTGGCAGTGTGTCAATCAGAGCATCGTGTGCGGTGAGTC